AATGTCCCTAGATTCATATGGATTGAATTGAGATTTACCGTGGAGGATGGGAGGAGGGGTCTGCCCTATGTCCCCTACCTCATGTTCATGATTGGGAGGGTCACTGGATTTTATTTTCCGAAGGATGAGATGCACACCATTTATAAAATTGAGAAGACCCAGCCTAGTGCAGCTACTCAGGGAGTGGGGAGCTCTCATGCTCATGTAGATATCCCTGAATCTCCTCGCTCTAGGTCTTGTAGTGGAGGCAAGATGAAAAAGTTTGGCAAGTGGTTGAAGGCAATCTTTGGAAAGTGCACCTATGCAGCTGACAGAGCATATGAGACACAACTTGAGCAACGTCAGCAACATGGATAGGACCTTCCACCACTTCCTCATATTCCACCTCCTCCACAGTATGACCTTCTGAGTCTCTCCGACACATATTCAGATGATGAGAAGGAGCAGCAGAGACGAGCAGCAGATTGAGATGAGACCCTGGAGGGATACTGTTAGAGACAGGAGCCGAGGCGTTCCACTCGTTCCACTTGCTACACCACCACCACTCACCGTCAGGGCCATGCACGTATTGACTCCGATGACTATGATTGTGATGGTGGTGCTGGGACTGCTGCAAGAGGTGATGATATTGATTGGACTAACATCCAGGGAGATGACGAGTAGGTGTTGATCTTTATTCTTTTTCTCTCTTTTTGGTGCTTTATGCCAAAGGGGGAGAAAATTAGAGGGGTCAACAACTTTTCGCAATAGCTACACTTCATGTCCTATTCGATGAGTGTTAGTCTTCGCTAGGTGGAAAGTTTGAGAGTTGCTCAACATTTTAAATTGTGAAATAATGCTACTATTTGACTCTTTGTTTATCGAATATGGACATGTATCGTTGTGTGGATTAGAAGTCATCTTATTGTGCTAGGTTGCATATCCTTTTGTCTGAGCTAGCTGTGTGGTGCTTGACTCTGTCTTGCTCGTACAGTCAGGTGCGGCTCTACCACACAGCAGCAAGCACATGTGTGCATAAACTGTCATTTGCATCATGTTTTATAAACCTGACACAGTATGCAGCACCCCACAGGAGCTTGGATGTAGGGGGAGCCCCATCACTTTCACTAAAATGTGAATCTTGGCTTATGCCAATTTGAGAATTCAATTCTCTATTCACATATTTAGGGGGGACTCTACACCCATGGCTCAAAAAGTCTTAGTATTTATTTCATATCTTTTGTAAGCTCTAATTGGGTTGTCATCAATCACCAAAAAGGGGGAGATTGAAAGTGCAATCAAGCCTTAATTGTGGGTTTTGATGATAATAACCTCGCAATTAGAGAACTAATGAGATTTATCGAGATGACAAGCAGGGAATTTATATTCGAGGATGCTACACGAAACGGAGGAGCCCCCAACTACAAATATAGATGGCTTCAAACTTAAAGGAGGTTTAAATTCTTTTATATATTGAATTTAAGTATAGGAAAAGTCGTACTATAAAGGGGGCACAATGCTTAAGCTAATCTGTGCTACCAAGTGCTCAAACAACCACATGCATCCTCAGATTCATAGCCAAGACAGTCTACACTTCACTATTATCCTTACTGTCTTGCAGCGTGCGAGCTCTGACTCGCCCGACCCTTTGGGTGCGGGCTTCGGTTCGCCCGACCCCTTGGGTGCGGGCTCTGGTTCGCCTGACCCTTTGGTCGCGGGCTCCATCTCGCCCGACCCCTTGGGTGCGGGCTCTGGTTCGCCCGACCCCAAGGTCGCGGGCTCCGTCTCGCCCGGCCCTTGGTCGTGGGCTCTATCTCACCCGACCCTAAGGTCGCGGGCTCTGGCTCGCCCGACCCTTTGGTCGCGGGCTTCGTGTCGCCCGACCCCAAGGTTGCGGGCTCTAACTCGCCCGACCCTTTGATCGCGGGCTCCGTCTCGCCCGACCCTTTGGTCACGGGCTCCGTCTCGCCCGACCCTTTGGTCACGGGCTCCGTCTTGCCCGACCCTTTGGTAGCGGGCTCCGTCTTGCCCGACTATTTGGTCGCGGGCTCCGGCTCGCCTCACCCTTTGGTGGCGGCCTCGTCTCGCCCAACCTCAAGGCCGCGGACCTCGTCTCGCCCGACCTCTTGGGTGCAATGTCCGTTGGGGCTGGGGGTATATATACCTTTTCTTTTTATCCCCAACGGCTATCTGCGATTTAAGTGACCGTTGGGGCCTGGGGGTATATATACATTTCCCTTTCTTTCCCAATAGTAACGAACCAACTTGCTCCCTTCTTCCTCACTTCAGCACACTCAAAACAAAGCAGGAGCTCTCTCTCTCTCACTCCATTGTTGACCTCAAGCCTCCAAGCAAATCCACTGATTTCTCCATCAATCCTTGAGGGGTAAGGGTCCAAAACTTAATAAGAGAGCATCTCTATTGATTCCAAACTCTAAAGAGCACTTGGTTCATGTTTTGTCCGGCGGTTGTGTTTGTTACTCTTGGAGCTTTGCTCCTAGCCGGTTAGAGCGTCGCCCGGTGGGCTTGCCAACTTGTGTGGTAGCCCCGGGAGGTTTGTAACCACCTCTTGCAGCAAGTAAAATCACCTCTCATCTCAAGAGTTCACTCTCTTGACTTGAGAACGAGGAAGGGTTGCAAATCCCAAAGCCTTAGTGGTATACCTCAACAACATGGACTTAGACATGCCTTGGTGGCGAGCTAAACCACGGGATAAATCCTTGTGTCATCCTGTGCTTGTGTTGCTACACTTGTGTTCTTGTTGTTGTTGAGGTGATTTCTAGCATTGAGGTCGATCTACTTGTGTGTGGTGTTCCCACCACTTTTAGCTATCGATCTGTGATCTACCACCCTGTATGAAGTTAAGAAATTTACCCGATCTAAATTTCGTTGGGTAGATTTTGAACTGTGAACTAATCTCTCCTGTAGGTGCGGCAGTGCCGCGCTCAAAGAGCGGCAGTGCCGCTGGTGAATTTGACTTCGGTTTGAGTTGAATTGTTCCAAGCATATTCAACCCCCCTAGGCGTACCAGAGATCCTACAGTATCAAGTTTAGTCGGTTAAAGGTAAGGACTAAAATTTTAGGCCACTTTAGTTCACTTGTATTGTCTAAAGTTTTTATGGGAATGGCTAAACTTTAGACAACACTTTAAGCCTCCTATTTAGAGGCTCAAGAGCTAAAGTGGTCTAAAATTTTGTGGCTAAATTTTAGACCATAGGATCCAAATAGAACCTCACAAAAAAAAACTATATTTGTTGGATAGTTTTAAAAGTATATTTATAGTAGAGGTACACCTTAGTTTTCTGGATGTAAAAAGGAAATAGAAACAGAGGGAAAATAAGCAATAAAGAATGAATACCAATGTATCCATCCTCAGAGGTCATAGGCTCATAGCCCAGCAAAAACAACTTTATTCGAGACAAGAATCTCACCTGCCAAACTTCGTTTGTGGGCTAACAATTAACTCAAGGTTAAGATGCAGGAACACTGGCCTATATAGGTGCTGCCCAATTTGGCCCACTTATTTGCTGATTGGAGGACGTAAGATCGCCTTTCAGTCGCCTGGTTTATTTAAATTGAAACAAGAGTCTCAAATCCTGTTTAGAAAGCAGGAAAAGTAGAAAATGTTTTTTAACTAAATGACAGGACACGACTTTAAAAAAATGACAAGATGGGAGGCAGTCACAAGTTATCAAAATTTCAAAATCGACAACCAATTGAAACCGATGTGGAATCTCCCTATTTGCAGAGGCATCCCTCTTAAAAGTTTGGTCTCTATAAATCAATTGTTTGTCTCCATATATAGACCGATCGCCTCTGAAATTCACTAGATAATTTTAAGATACAGGCATTTTAAATTGCCTATATATAAATGAAAGAAGTGGTCTCTGATTTTTTTTGTATTCATGAAATGATTACACCTGAGAAATCGCCAAAACATCTTTCATCTTGCTCCATTCAACATAGTAAATTGTTCTAGATTTTTCCTAAGCCAAACTTCTCTAGTTTTGACCGAGTTTACAAAAAAATGCACAAACATTTAATGAATCAAACTAGATTCATTAGATACACCATGACATATATTTTGATAGTATTTTTGTTTGATATTGTAGATGGTAATATATTTTTCTATAAACTTGGTCAAAATAAGACAAGTTTGACTTGGAGTACATGCTCTATTAAAAAATGAATCAAACAATGCTGACCAATAGCAGATATATCACTATATCACACACATACATGACAAAGTGGTAAGTTAGAATGATGAGAATCATGCAGGAACTGAACAGAGTCCATTGGAACTCATCTCACACACATACATCATGATGCTTGAAAAAAAAATGTGGTTCATATTAGCCTTTACTCTTCCTTGTTTTTGTTTTTCAGAGATGATGGTCTTTCTCACGAAGTCACCGAATTCAGAGAAGCTGGCATGCAAATGTACTTGAACTTGAAACTTTCAGTTACAAAAAGTTTGCTTAGATGCTCATGCCCACATTGTGAAAAAAAAATGAATCAGGTCACATACAATTTTCATTTAAAAACGGAAATATTTACAGTAAGTACAGGAGAAGAACTAGGTTCGCAGAAAAGGTAATGAGCTAAATCCTGATCGATCTATGCCAGGTAAACAGTAAACTAGAATTAGCCCTGAGACAACAGGAGGCCGAATGTCCAATACCTTGCAACCAGAGTTCAGCTCAACTGGGGGGAAAGCAAATAGGCATATATAAGTTCTTGGCCAGCCTGCACGGATTACAGGCAAGGTGTCTCAAAGCTCTCAGCTTCATTGTCTTCGTCATCATCACCCTCTGTGGTATTGGGATTTACATTCTGAACTGTAATGACTACCTGTCTGTTTCAAATTACTAGACGTTTTGGTAGGTTAAAATAAGCTAGCAAAACGTCTAATAAATTGGAACAGAGGTAGTATTTCTTAAATTGTCATGCCTTGAGCAGAAGAAATCAACACATACTATATATTTTAGCCTACTGCTGCTGCAGCTGCTACAGGTGGTAAGCTAGATTTGGCAGAACTTACTTGACTTCTCCAAAATCTCCACTAAGACTGACGGGCAAGTTGTTTTGAGCTCTGCATACCCTCGACTTGCCACAACATCATGTAGCCTATTAGGAGAGAAGATGAACTCAAAGCAACTCTCCTTAAGCATATCACAATGGTGCTGATCAGCAAGTGCCAGCATAGCCGCCACGGTGTGCACTGCAAGGTTCTTGGAGAGGATGCCTTGGCATATCATCTTCAGCCTCTCCATGGCGTACCGATCTGCCGCCACAAGCAAATGGCAAATCCTCTCTTTTCGGTCATGCTCATCTAGGCCGTCATCGTCAATGGCGGGCAACGCGTCCGTGTAGATGAATCCCAGCAGTGCCCTGAACACAGACGGCTGCACGTCCTCGACGGCCAGGTGCTGCTGCTCCCCCTTGTCCCTCATCGGCCCATAGAGCTGCGCCCTGAACACCGGCGACCGCATGGCCAGCACGATCCTGTCCGCGGCGAACGTCTCCTCTCCCACATGAATCGTGACGTCCGTCCCCACTCCTTCCTCCAGCAACCTCCCGAGACACTCCGGCAGGTCTGGTGGCGGCACCTCGACCCTCGACACGGCCGGCTCGGCGGCCGCGAAGACCCGCTGGTTTTGGGTAACGGCGACGCGGCACATGACCGAGACGCGGTCGCCGCGGAGAACGGCGAAGTCCTCCACCTTGGTCCTCGGGACGACTAATCTGGCCGACGACGGCGGCGGCGGCGATCCGTTGCCGGTGCCGGCGCCGGCGGTGCTGAGGGAGATCAGCGGCGTGGTCGGTTCCCAGCGCGTGGATCCGTCGGCCTGGTTCACGAACCCGATGGTGAAGCACGCCTTCGCGTCGGCTCCCTGGGTCATGAGATCCGCGTGGAAACAGCACTCGTCGTCGCCGCTGCTCTTGCTCTTGCCGCCGCCTGCAGGCCCGCCGCCACGGGCGTCGCCGTCGGGGAAGAACCGGAGGGACCAGTGGTAGCCGCCGACGGCGAAGGTGCCCGACCACACGTAGTTGCCGGGGCCCACGCCCCTCAGCAGGCTGTAGCCGCAGACGTGGAAGACGTGCGTGCCCTCCACGGTCTCGATCGCGCTCGTCGACGACGTCGTGGTCACCAGCGGCGCGCGTCCGGGTGGCGGCGGCGAGGTGGGCTTCGGCTGCATCAAACCAAGATCCTATTTGCGTAGTAGCAGCGTCACGGGGAGAGGGGTTCGCGATGCCGAGGCAGATGCTGAATTTTGCGGCGCTACATTTGGGAGAACTCGTGCCGTCGTGCAGAGCGATGGAATCCAAGCCACACTTGCGATCTGTGTGGTGGGGCCAGGCCAAGATTTGGTAATTGACTATAGGAGCGTCCTGTTATTCTGATCGAAGACATTACAATTTTTACGTTTCAGAGATTTGTCATTACAATTTATCTAATAGAAAATTTACCATTATAATGGTTGAACTCGCTCATTCTTACCATTATCAACGTATCTGGCGCTCTTGGGCAGACTGCAGGTGATGTATCTCTCTTGTATTCTCGTATAGACACATTTGCCATTATAATTCAGCGTTTCAGCGATACCAGCAGCATCGATTCAGGTCTCGCCGTCGGCGGCTTTGGAGACCGGCGCGGGCGTAGGCTGCCAGGCGCGGCAGGCGAGCGGTCACGGGCGGTCCGTCACTGCGGTGGCGCAGCGGTTGTGGGCGTAGGTGGCACGGCGATGGCGGACGGTCACTACGGAGGCAGTCACGGCGGGTGCAGCTGTCATGGGCGGGCGGGCCGTCACTGCGGTAGCGCGGCAGGCGGTCGCTGCGGAGGCAGTCGCGGCGGGCGCAGCTGGCGGATGCCGGTGCTGGTGTCCCAGTCGTTGATGCAAACACAGGCAGGTGCTACGACGCTGGTGGCGCAGCCAGGCTCTACGGGCGCCGGTGACCAGAGGAAGCAAAGCAGAGATAGTTTTCAGATATTTTTGTGAATAGGAAGAACACTGGAACTTGCCCACCGCAGCTCCCGCCCTCCTGTGCCCGCGACAGCCTGCCGGACCGCCGTCGTCGCCCACCTCGGCCATGCTGGACTCGAGAGCCGCCGCCGCCCGCCTAAGACCAAGCTGGCCTGGAGAGGCCCCGCCACCCGCCTGCGCCCGTGCCGGCCTGGAGCGGCGCCGCCAACCACCTGCGCCCGCGCCGGCCTGGAGAGGGGGCGCTCATCTGCTGCTCCAGGCAGAGGAAGCTGAGGAAGCTAGCGGCGGGGGAAGTTGCCTCGCCGGTGAACGCGCACGGAGAGATGCGGCGCAGCTCGTCTGTGGCCGGGGAGGCAGAGAGCACGAGCAGAGGAGGCACGGGGTCACCATCTCGTCGTCGGCGCCGAGGAGGCCGTGCTCTTGCGCGTGCTCCAGGTGCTGCCATGTTCGTCGCCGGCACCGAGCATGGCCGTGGACCTGCAGACTGTGGCCTCGGCTGCCTCGCCCCCAATTTCCCCTACGTCCCGTTCACCTCCGCCCTGGACCCCATTGTCGGCCATGGCCGGAGCTGGAGAGAGAGGAAGGGACAGAGGAAGAAGACATAGATGGGGCAAAAATGTCATTTCCCGTGGTTGATCCATGCTGTCAGTCATCGAGTTCGCGTGCCATGTCAGAGATAATGGTAAGAATGTAGCAAATGTTTCCTCTCCGATGGCAAATATGTATTTGCAATTTTAAGAGTTAGACCTGAAGAGGTGCCATCCGTTATAATGGTAAAAAGTTAAATATCCCCCCAATCGAGGTTGGTAGGGTTTGTCGCGCTGAATCGGTTTATGGCCAAGATGGCCTTATCCTTTTGTTCACAGGGGCAATTTGGTGTATACAAAAATACAGCAGGAATATGACACCTGTAGGTGGGCCCAAGGGCGCTGGATACGTCTATAATGGCAATTATCAACGAGTTCAACAATTATAATGACAAATTTCCTATTAGATGAATTGTAATGGCAAATCTCTAAAACGTGAAAATTGTAATGGCTTCAATCAAAATATCCCTTGTATATACTCCAAAGAAATGCTCCGGTTGTCTATCTGCACAAACGGATCACGCCTGCGTTGCCCGCTAGCGAAAGGGACCTCGCCCGCGTTGCCCTCGTCCTCATCATCAGCTCGCTCTGCGGTGTCTACGTGCTGCGAGCTCCAGCTCGCGGGAACGATCCCGTCCTCCCACGTGTTGCCCAGCTCGCACCGCGTGGCCCTGCTCGTGGGATGGATCCCACCCTCCCTTGCGCCATCCCAGCTTGCACCGCGTGCCCCTGCTCACGGGACGGATCACACACTCTCTGCACCGCCCCAGCCCGTACTTGCGCCTCCCGTTGCAACCGCGCTCCATCCGCCTACCTCAGACCCTGCCAGGTCAGTGACGCCGACGAGCTCCACACCGGTGACCTCCGCACCACTCTATAGCATCGAGCCCCACGTTGGCATCGTGCTCCGCATCGACGAGCCTCTATTTTCGTCCAAGCAGCAAGTAGATATTGCGCTTAAAAGCGCGGGTTGCAAACGCCTATTTCAAGTGTTTTAGATGTTTCAGAGTTATGTTGCAAGTGTTTCATATTGATGTTGCAAAAGTAGATCGAGATGTTGCAAATATTGCAATGGTTGTACACGTATGTTGCAAGCCCAATGTTTCATCTATTTTTTCAGATGTACGTTGCAAGTGTGTTTATCTGGATGTTGCATATGTTTAACACATATATTTGCAAGTGTTTTATCTCGATGTTGCGTATGTGTTTTGCAATGGTTTCAAGTGTTTCAGGTATTTTTTGCAAGTGTTTTAGATGTATGCTTCAAGTGTTTCATGTGCCGTCAGACGTATGTTGCAAATGTTGCTTCTGAATATTTCAAAAGTAGATCGGGTGTTGCATCTCCCTTCTCGCCTTCTGTTGCCTCGTCTTGGTGTCTTATCCTCCTCCCAGTGTCGGCTGGGCATCCGCCACCTTCTCCCTCTCTTCTCGAAGCTGGTGATATTTGTGGCGGCGCAGGCCCCACGTAGGCGCACAAAATGCGTGAAAAATGACTGCAAGCGCGGGCGTTCAGACACCCTGTCCGTCCGGACATCCGAGCGCTAGCAAGGCCTATACTCAAGGGGAGCCTTCAAACACCTCATTTTTCCCATATTTATACAAACAATAATGAGACTTGCTAAAATCCAGGTGCCTAAATTTTAGCTTCCTTTGAGGCAATTGATATTGCATATTTTTTCCTAAAATTGTAGTTTTAGTTAGTTGTAATTTATATAGCCATAATCTACAATTTTAGGGTCCAAGAATAAAAGGCTCGTTAGACAAAACCATAAACCCGACAAAATCTTATTTGTGTTGGCACAAAGACAATTAACAATTACTTCTATAGTTAGACAAGGACAGAAATTTGATACATTATAATATAAAGACAAATAACAAATCACAAAAGTAATAATTTACTTGTATTAGTTAGTTGTACAAGAGTGTTGCCTACAATCATCTTAAAATTTAGGCACCCGAACAACAATCTATCCAACATGCTCGAGCGTGCAACTCCGTCACCTGATCACCCATCTCCCCCATCTTTCTCTCAAATTTGGTGGAAGTTTAAGGCCCCCATTGGAACGCAAGAACTTCACAAGAATCATACAGAAATTTCACAGGATTTATTTTATTTTCACAGAAAATATAGGAAACATGAATATTTTCTGTGTTCCAAAGGGGCCCAAAGCGTCTTCCATCAATGCAATCTTCCGTAGCAGCATACTTTTTGTCAGAAAAAAATGTATTTCACTGTTAAATATAGAATCAAAATATTTAAATAGGGCATATTGTTGTATTTTTTGCAATTAATGCAATAATCGAAGACCAATATTGCCTGTATTTAATGTTTTAAAAAATATGACATGTGAAAATTTCAATTTAAATTTGAACTATGACATCTACATATCTAAGTATGAATTGCCGTTGAATGTTATGCAACCGAAGATTTATACTCAAAATGTTGTGGTGCCAAAATAGATAGTGTTACTATAGAACAGAAGATACAAAGGAAAGATAGGAGTGCACAAATGAGGCAAACGATTGAGTGCCATACTTTTCTTTTGTCCCCTAATCTATTTCAGATATAGCCCTCAAATGCAGATATATACAGAGAATAGATGGCAAAACCATTGGAAATTGCCCTAAAGCTTATATTGATTCTCTATGTGCCATGAGAATTACTGACCTCCTTTTGACCCTCGCTCTTTAAAATTTGCATTTCCTTAGCTTCCACTCTTTAAATTTTGGTATTTGCAGGCCAATTAAGGCTCTCCACTAGACATTCGATATATAGCTAGGTAGCTACATCATGACAGCGTCAATGTCGACGAAGGCCATGGTAAGGTCGGTAGCACCGTTGGGCACGAGCGTGGCAGTGGTGTCCATTCTCCTCGTGAAATCCATGGCGAGTACCAATCGGTGGTGCAGGCATGGATAATGGAGGACAGACGATGCTGACATAGATGATTTTATGGATGAACCTTTCTATTTTTCGCCTGAAGAAAGCCGGCAAGTCATAGACCCATAGGGCTGACAAAGGCAGGCCATGTAAGGTTGAAGTAGATTTAGAGTTTCTTTGGTATGACTTTTCATCTCTGACTTCTTGCAATGGTTGCCGTGGAGTCTTACCAAACTACCATAAAAAAGGGCGTGGCTAGTGTCTAGACGTCTAGACGGAGGCGCATGTCCGGACGCTCATGCAACCCACCCTCCATTCGCCTTCGCGCACACCCCATAAGTGCGCTCCGCCCCTGTCTCTATGGTCCACCGATCCCGGTCCTTCCCTGACTCCCTCCCCTCTCTCTGACTCTCCGCGCGAGTGACACACAGGAGCCGGGATGAGCGGCTGAGGACAATCACGCCCCCAATGCGTCCCGACCTATAGCACCCTCGTCTGCCGGCACCTAGCACCCCCGCCTGTCCGTTGGCCCCTTGGCGTGCCGCGTGCCCTGTCCGCCGGCCCCGGTTCGCCCCCAAATGAACAACATAAAACACTTGCAACATGAATGCAACATAAGAATGTAAACAAATGAAATAGTTTCAAAGAAAGAAAATAGATGAAACATTTGGAACATGCTCTTGCAACATGTGTATGAACACACACGAAACATTCAAAATAAAAACACTTGCAACTTACAACATGAAACCACCTGCTGTAACATCAGACTAAAACAACTGAAACATATTGTCGCAACATATACAACATCCAGATAAAAAAATGATTGCAACATACATCTGGAAAAAGAGATGAAACATTTTGAGCAAACACTTGCAACAAGTCTCTGAAACACTTGCAACATATGCAACATGCGCATCATTGCCTAATCTACTTTTGCAATATCAAGACGAAACAATTGCAACATACATCTGAAACGCCTGAAACACTTGAAACATACATATGCAACGTAGGGGGAAAGGACGGGCTGGTCGATTCCGGCCGTCGGGGTGGGAGCCGGCGGTGAGCCGCAGCACGCAAGCACCACCAGCGCCACCCACGCTTGTGGGTGCCCTTGGCTCAGCCGGGGAAGACATGAGGCGTCACGACACGTGCGCCACAGCGGCCATGGCGGGTCAGCAGTGCGCGCGACGGCGATAGGAGATGGACGGATGAACGACGAGGGAGCGAGCGGCACAAGTGACTGGGACGGGCGTGGGGTGAGGGGGGAGTATTCGACGCGGCAGCCGACGAGCGCGCAGTGGGGGAAGAGGCGTGGATGAATGAGTGGTCACGCTACTGCGTCGGGTGCCGGACGAATAAGGATGAACGAGTGGGGATGTTTTTCCCGTTTCTGAGTGAGATGGGGCCCACTCCTGTGGAGCCACGCACCCGTGTCCGAACGAGTATCACGAATAGATGCCATGTACCATGAATTACCTTTAAAAAATGGCTCATTGCAAGGAACCCAGAGCAGTTGGAGCTCAAAAAATGCGGCTTCTACTCACTCCTCGTAAATTTGACTAAAATTATTACAAATTTGTCATTAAATCTTGTTTTTGCTAAATATTTTACAAAATAATTGTATTAGGCAGGCGACGCCACACGTGGTGTCGGGTTCATAAACCCGGGGTCCCTCATGGTCCGGCTTTCCAGCAAAGACTTGGCCCAGCAGACGACGTTGCGAATGACGCACAACTCCTAGGCTGGCCCAAAAACCTAACAATAGGACAGAAGGGCGAACCAGCCTTCGACCGGAAGGCCTGGCCAAGGAGGAACGGTGCCCGCTTCTGACTCTGGCCCGCCTCTCCGACCAGAAGGCCTCGCTTTTAACTTCGGCCCGCCTCTCCGACCGGAATGTCTGGCCAAAAGGAACAACGCTCGCTTCCGGCTCCAACCAGCGTCTCCGACTAGGGATGCACCGAACCTCTGCTTACAGCTCTTCTCCAACTGGCGTAGTCAGAGCCGACTAGGACCAACCGACCGGGGACGCCCGCTCGGTAAGGACCAAGGGAACGGGTAGAGCTAGTAAAGCAAGACGCACAAAGTCAACCGTAATACCAAGGGCCATACCCTGTACACCTGCAAGACAGTACCAACAGGACATGTTAGAAGGGTGCCCTACAACCTTCCAGGCATGTCAGAACCCAAGTAGTGTTGTGGGCGCCGACATTTGCCCTACAGTGTTGTGAGCGCCCCCAAACTCCCATACCAGGCGAACACGGTAAAACCCCCTGCGTGCCTCTAGGCATCAATAGTATTGCAGGCACCGATATCTGCCATACCAGAAGAAGACGACGCAACCTCCCACATGCATCTGACATCAATAGTATTGTGGGTGCCTACAATCGTCTTGTACCTAACGGCGTGGGCAACAAGACTTAGTAGCATACGTACTCTCTCTCTCTCGTAAGGCCGTCCCCTTTATCTATAAAAGGGGACGCGCTCTCTCCTAATAGGGGAGATCGATCAACTCTAGGAGGATCAGTTCACTCACATCGATTCACCCTCTGCTAGCATTAGACACTTTAAAGCTACACAGAACGCACGCTCGGACACTTAGCACATAGCGGAGCTCCTGTCACTCTCGGCCTTTCAGACCAGAGTCCGACTAGACCTCTTGCACCCCCATCTTACTCCCTTCTGTTTGTGACCCCACAGCAAACTTCGAGCACCTAGGCTCAGGAATAAAGTCACCGACCGACTCAAACTGGACGTAGGGCGCGTTGCCTGAACCAGTATAAACCCTGTGTCATTGAGTGCTAGGCCACATCCGATCACAACGTACGGCAAAACTACAAATATTTACGTGTTGGTCACTTTATGCACAGACAGTTGACGACGTCCGTGGGGAAGACGTTGTACGTTCATGCTTTTTGGTCATTGGAT